TGCTGCGACATCTGTTAGCAAACGACATTGAAAGCTTTAGTGCAGAAAGCTTCATTAGTCTATGTCTTTGCTATACATCCATTAGTCTATGCAATAACTTTTTCGGGCGACATCTGTTAAAAAAGGAAATAACAACTGTTACTGTTATGGCATCATGTTGTCTACGATAACAACTTTGAACGATGTGGCAACACTAGCATTTAAATAGTTTCATAATTTCATTGTTATCTGCGCAGCTAAAGCTTTGGCCCGGATTCATCTTCTGGAACGACACGTGCGTTCCGTAGTTCCGCGTCAATGATTTGTTTTTGTTGTCGCTTTTGCTGCTCTTTTCACACTGTGCTTTTGTACTGCAGTATGACACTGGTTTGAATTTGTTGTAATAGCATTACAATAACAACAACAACACAACCAAAAATATGGTTAGAAATTAGTTTAGTGGGTTAAATCTGTTGGTGTTTGTTTGTTGTATGACTGGTTGGTTGTGTGTGTGTGCGCGGATGTGCCTGATTGTTGCCACCATGTCCGGGTGTGAATGACTCCTTCTTTTCGGACAGTCGGTGTTGTGAAAAAAAGTTTGAAATAAAAGAAACCTAAAAAACCGCACAATATGCAAATTATTTGATAGGCATTGGCACTGTTTTGCTGTGTGTTGTTGTAACCTTTGTTAGTTGTTTGTGTTTTTTAGCTGCTGCTGCTGCAAAGGTCAATTTCCAAAACGCCTGATTTAGTTAAAAATTTAATAAAAAAAAATCTAATTGAATTTATTCAAAATGGAAATTATTTAATAAAACTTGTGGATGGAAACCAAATCTAATTACGTCCCTTAAAGCGCCACAATAGCCATGTGTTTAAAGCGGCTGGGTGTTTTCATGAACACAGGTTCTTCGGTTCATATTTAACCGGCATCATATACTGTGTAAACCTTCTTATGTCCTCCACCACACATAGTATGAAGCATGGCAGAAGAATACAGATATTTATGTCAAAAAATTAAAATGTTTTTTTTTTTTTTTTTTTTTTGAAATATAAGTAGATTTTTATATGTTTTCTTATACTACGTCATTCGGAGGTTATTGTAATTCGTGTTTTCAACAACTTTTATAAATTTAAATAATTTTTCATTCAACATTTTCAATTCCAAAATTGGTTTGACAGCTCATTGTCCCAGCAGCTGTGTCGATGCGTCTACCTATATTTTTCTACCATGGTATGAAGGGTATATTGAGTTCGTTATTCCGAATGTAACTTATCGAAATAATAATAAAAAATCGATATTCGGTATTTTGATGACTTTAGCTACATTTTTCACTTCAATTGTCTGCAAGTCCACACAAGATGCTCCTTCTGAGTATATCGGTCATTGTCCCAGCAGCTGTGTCGATGCGTCTACCTATATTTGTCTACCATGGTATGAAGGGTATATTGAGTTCGTTATTCCGAATGTAACTCATCGAAATAATAATAAATAATCGATATTCGGTATTTTGATGACTTTAGCTACATTTTTCACTTCAATTGTCTGCAAGTCCACACAAGATGCTCCTTCTGAGTATCTTGTGTGGATCGTATAGCATCCATATAACGGTACCCCCCGATATTAGGTAGTTTGATGATATTAGCCACATTTTTTACCCCCGTATAACGATACCTCCCAATATACGGCATTTTGATGATTTTAAGAAATTTTTCTACTTCCTTCCAAATGATGGAGAGTGTAAAAATTCGGCCCGAACTTAGCTGCTTTTTAAATTGTTAACCTGACACCCACCATGTCTCTTTTGCTTACTAATTTTGTACACATCTGTATTTTGTTAGTAGGCTGATTATTTCGTAAATGGGCCATATTGGTCCAGGTTTTCATAGGGTGAGATGAAAAAACTGCATCCAACTTCTGACTGCTGTCATTTCTAAGCCACTCCTCCGACAGCTGTTAATATTATTCCAGTGACAGCTCATTACATTGTTTACAAGTGTACAAAAGCATTTCGGTGAGAATTTTCCAGAAAAAAAGTTATTCGTGATGGAATTCGTGCGATTTCTTTATATTTGGCTGGAAAACCACAAATGGCTATCGTTAGAGCACTCCAGCATTTAAATGTAAATAAATCATTTGTGTCTCGTACCATCGCCCGTTACCGTGATACTGGTATCGTAGCCGGACGTCAAGGAAGTGGATGGAAGAAAACAGCAACATCAGCAGAAATGGTTCGAAAAAGTAAAGAGGCGGCTTGATGGAAACCCACGTCACAGTGGCCGAAAAATGGCTCGTGAGCGGAACATATCGCAATATTCCATTTGGCAAATATTGAAATATTGAATTAGCTCCGGGTAAAGCCATTGAAATTCCAAAAAAATGCAAGAACTTACACAGCAACAGAAAGAAAATAGACTCAAAAGAGCTAAAGAGTTGCTTCGCTTGGCCGAAATATGTGAGCTGCCGAATTTGGCTTTCTCCGATTAGAAAACATTCGTTGTCCAGCAGTTTGTAACCAAACAAAATTATCGTGTTTACTTGCCAAAAGGTCAGCTGAAAATGTGCACCTTCATTTCCAGCGCAGAATTGCCATTAAAATCACCGGATACCAATCTACCAATCCGTTGGACTATTGTGTCTAGAGTATTTTGGAAAGCAAGGTTGGCACTAAAAAATACCAAAGTGTCGATCACCTCAAGCAAGCGATTCGCCGGGAATGGGCCAAAATACCACAGAGCAACATTTGGGCAGCGTGTGACGGTTTCATTGGCCGTTTGAAGGCCATAATTCGTGCCAAAGGTGACCAATTCGAACAAATCTAAATTTATTCTAAAATTTGATGAAAATCTTCATTTGGTGAAAATCGGTCAAGATATAGTACAACTACCACATATATGTTCCATCCGATTTGGTGTTCCAGTCCTTCTCATGCGTAATATGCACTCCACAACAAGGATATTTGATCCGGACATCAGATACAGCTCGAAAATACTTCTGCCAAATTTTTTACCGATATGGGATCAGATTTGGATATAGCTCCCATATATATATAAAATTCTAAGTCGATTTAACGATGCCCGCCTGTCTGTTAAAATCAAGATACAGCCCACATTATTTGACGGTAAGCGTCAAAATTTAGCAGAACAATGTGTTTTGTGTCTAGGATGGTTGGTATTGAAAATGAGATATATCGGTCGACGTTTTGGAATAGTCCCTATATAACGGTATCTCCCGATATTCGGTATTTTGATGATTTTTCTACATTTTTCACGGATTTGTCTAAAAATTGGTATTCGTAGTTCATAATGGATTCTAGCTCTAGTTGCGAAACATTGTACGTATAGGCCCACATTTTGGTATAGCCCCAAAATATAACGGTACCTCCCGATATTCGGGGTTTTGACGATTTTTGCCACGGATTTGTCCACAAATTGGTATTTGTAGTTCTTAATGGGTTCTAGCATGTGTAGCGGAACACAGTATGTATAGGTCCACGTTTTCGTATAGCCGTCATATAACAGTACAGCCCGATATTCGGTATTTCGTTTTTTCACGGATTTGTCTAAAATTTGGTGTTCGTAGTTCATAGTGGATTCTAGCTCCGTTGGCGAAACATTGTATGTGTGTCCACGTACCTATTTCGGTATCTCCTGATATTCGGTAGTTTGATGATTTTTGCAACATTTTTTCACGGATTTCTCCAAAAATTGGTATTTGTAGTTCGAAGTGGGTTCCAGCTCAGTTGGTGAAACATTGTATGTATAGGTCCACGTTTTTGTATAGCCCCATTAGCGACATTTTTAACCGGAATTGTTTCAAATTTGGTATTTGAAGTTCGAAATGGATACTACAGTCTAAGACAGAAAATTATCTGCGCAGGTCCACGTCTTCGTATAGCCCCCATATAACGGTACCTCCCGATATTCGGTATTTTGATGATTTTAGCGACGTTATTAACCGGAATTGTTTCAAATTTAGTATTTGAAGTTCGTAATGGATGTTACAGCCTATGACAGAAAATTGTCTGTGCAGGTCCACGTCTTCGTACAGCCCCCATATAACGGTACCTCCCAATATTCGGTATTTTGATGATTTTAGCGTCATTTTTCACCGGAATTGTTTCAAATTACGTATTTAGTGTTCGTAGTGGGAACTTCAGTCTGTGATAGAAAATTGTCTATGCAGGTCCAGGTCTTTCTATAGGCCCCATATATCAGTACCTCCATACATTCGGTATTTTGACGAGTTTAGGTACAATACCCACAGAAATTGTTTGAGATGTCGTATTTGAAGTTCGTAGTGGATGCTATAGCCTGTGACAGATAATTGTCTATGCTGGTCCAGGTCTTCGCGCAGCTTTGATATAACGGTACCTCCCTACATACGATATTTTGATGATTTTAGCTACATTATTCACCGTTTATTTCAAGTTTCAAATTTGAATATGGTAATGGCTTATTACAAACAATGCCTATGTAGGTCCACGTCGTATAGACCCCAATATAACGGCTATATTCGGTATTTTTAAAATGTTAGAGAATTTTTAAGGATTTTATTTTTTGAAAATGTTCAAATTCGTTCTAAATGATGGAGGATATTTAAAGTTCGACCCGGCCGAACTTACTGCTTTTTAACATATTTTTTACTTACCACTTTCTCAAATAATTGTTAATAAAACACAATTTTTGTTAGTTTTTGTTTTATCTATTCAATTAATACATACACTGAAATGTAGGAAAATATTTCAAATAAAGCCACCTCAAAAGTGATATTTTTCCTGTTCTTACTTACCCCACCTCCTCCACCCAAAAATTACCAATAAAGAACACGTTTTCTATTTGTGATTGTTTTTTTTATTGTTTATTATTATTTATTCATTTTATTCTAAAAATTTCTATGGAATGTTTTTCAAGAGTATCGGAAGTTTGAGTTATGTTATGTACACAGTTTCTATATGGTCTGAGAATTTCATAGATACATTGATTACGGATTTTGGTTAGGGTCTCGGTTTCTGGATTTTCTGTTTTTTTTTTTTCAATAAAAATAATTGTTTTTATTTATCTTTCTTAATTGTATATTTTCTGTTTAAATTGTAGGAGTATGTAGTTGTTGGTATATATTTATATTTAGTTGTTAGTTTTATTTATTTATTTTTTTGGGAAGAAATATATATTTAACTAAGAAATAGTGGGGAAAACAAATGTTAGTAGAATTCCAAAAAAATTAAAATTGTTATAAAATACGATTATAAATTTTTGGGCAAAAACATTTCATTTTGCGCGAAGAATAAAATCAAACTTTGGTTTTTGGGTTTTGTTTAGCCATTGTATCCCATGTAGTTGCCATATGCTGGTGGTTGAGTGGGGTAGTTCTTGGCACCGCTCGAGCTAGACGAGGAAGAAGAGGAACCCGATTTGGAGGGATTCTCACTGAAGAGACCACCGAAATTCTTGGAAGATAAAATATCTCCCAGACCACCAGAGCTGCTGTGGCCACCGCCAGAGCCGCCACCGCCCAAAAGGCTACCCAAAAAGCTGCTGGCACTGCTACCACCACTGCTGCTGCCCCCACCACCGCCGCCAGACAAAACATTACCCAACAAACCACCCAAAATATTGGAGGCAGTACTGCCCGAAGAAGAGCCACCGGATGAACCGCCAGCACCACCAGTACCATAACCGCCGCTTGGTGTATAACCACCACTAGGTTGATAGCCGCCACTGGGTTGACTGGGTTGTTGATTACCGCCACCTCTCAAAGTATTTGCAATTTGTCCGGCAATAATACCGGTCACAGCGTTGCGTACCTCAGGGCTGGATAGAAAATTGGAGAAGAAACCACCACCACCTTCTTTTTCTTTGGTGGGATTGCGACCGGGAGCCGGAGCTGGAGGAGTATAACCACCATGACCACCACCATAACCACCTTGTCCGCCATAACCTGGAGCTGGGGGAGTATAACCACCATAACCACCTTGATAGCCTGGTGGCACATAACCACCTGGATTGTAACCGCCCGGCTGATAACCGCCGCCACCACCCATGGAACCACGATTATCGCTCGGCAAACTGGGATACAAGCTATGACCGCCCGAACCACCAGTATTGAAGGCCGGAGCACTGGGTGCAGGTGGAGCACTGGGATTATCATTGTTGGTGGTTTGCGAATTAATTACTGCAAGTGCAAGTGGTGTTTTGTGAATTGCGCAGCGTGTTCAGTGTTAGCGACATAAAATGCAAGCCATCCCATATTTTGCAAAGTCGTTTCAAGGTCAGCCAAAGATATGCCACCGAGCAGCACGCAATATTTGCAAATAAAACCATCAAACCAAATGAATGCATAAATTGTCAACAGAAAAAAGCAAAAAAATAAAATAAAAATAAAAATTAGTTAAACATTTTTTTCTTTTAGCCAAAAACAAATTTCTACAACAATAACAGACAAGGTACATAATTAAATGATATAATATAGGTTTTTGTTTTAGTTGTATTTTATATTATTATGTTATAAAATCCTAACTATATACAATATGTGTAACAAAGATATGATGGGTTTTGAAAAAGGCAATGTTAATATTTGTAAATTAAAAAAAAAAATTGAAAAAACGGCTTAGTGGCCGACATTTTGTGTGGAAAATGTATTATGTTTAGGCACGAAGTACAGTTATCTCCTGGACAAAATTCTTCGATTTGTAAGAAATTAAAATTGAACCAAAAATTTCATAATTTTGAATAAAAAAGTAAAATCCATTGATTCGCAATGTCATTTCACTATTAAAATATACTTATTTTACTTATCCTCCACTTGCTCCTGTATATTTTTCCAATAAATACTTATTTATTAGTGGTAATTCTTATTTTTTACTGTTCCAATGAATATTTCTCGATGGATGCAAAAAATTGAATGGCCAAATTGACTTTATCTACTTTTTCCTTGAACTGATGCTTCCACTCATTCAAAATACTGTTTTGTACTCTCAAATTCTATTTACCTTAAAGTTCCCAACTCTCTCTGTTGTGTGATTGTTGCTGTACTTGTTCTATTCATATTTGTGCTACTGACCAATATCGCAACTCTCTCTGTTGTGTGATTGTTGCTGTACTTGTTCTATTCATATTTGTGCTACTGACCAATATCGGTTTCTCCACAATTAGCATAACAAGAGAAAAAGAGTAACAGTGTTTATGTGGGGTATGTTCAGTAAATTTTATATTGATGCTGCTGTAGCTTTTCTCACATAAACACGTTTCTCATATAAACATCAAATGATAGCAACAATTCGACCTAAATTTGAGAAGAACTTTGAAAATTGCGGCCGATCGAGATTGAAAAGTGGCAAAAAAATCCCTGAAAATGGGAAATTGAGTGCTGCCGCCTTTATGTGGGGTATGTTCAGTAAACTCTACATTGATGCTGCTGTAGCTTTTCTCACACGTTTATCATATAAACATCAAATGATAGCAACAATTTGACCCAAATTTGAGAAGAATTTTGAAAATTGTGCGCGATCGAGATTGAAAAGTGGAAAAAAATCCCTGAAAATGGGCAATTGAGTGCTGCCGCCTTCCGCCATACAAAATTAAAACTTTCAAGTTAAAGGCAGTGTAACTTGAACATACACTATTAAAAAATTCAATATTTCATTTGTTGTGTTTTGAATTTCATAAATCAATGATCTAGATAGAATTGGATTGGATTGGAATTTTTCAAAACTCACCATACTTTTTATTTTGTGTTTTCTTGTTTTGAAATTATTAATTATTTTTTTGTGTAGTTTTGTATTTTATGTTTCGTTAAATATTAAGCACATTTCGTTTTGAACTGTTATGTTGTTTTGGTTTCGTACTACATACATACACAAATCTATATATATATATAAGTTCACATACCACATACATATGTAATTCAATAAACTAGTAATATTTACGTTGGTTGTTGTTCTTCTTCCTTAAAAACACTAATAGTTTCTATATCAGTTTTGCTTAATTTGATTTGTTTTAATTAATTGCCGTTTTTAATTAATTATTTATTTATTTTAATACTACTCGTGGTATTTTCAAATACTGTTTGAGTTAATTTTGTCCTTTGTCCTTGTCTTTTTTTTAGGTTATCATCATTGTCGCATAAATAATTTCGTAATTGTGGTATTTTAGTTTTGTTTTCTGTTTATGTTTAGTCAAATTTTAAAAATTTGTCGCTTTTTAAAAACTATTTAGTCTTATTAAGTTTACTGTTGTTTTTTTGTCTTTCTTTATTGCATAAATATTTTTTTAATTATTTACAATTATTGTTAAATAAGTTAATAATTAATAATTTAAAAATGAACACATATATTGTTGTTTTGTTGGTTAGTTTGTTTGTAGTAGAAGTATTGAATAGCAGTGTTGTGTAGCTCTTAATTGAATTGTTGTTTTAACATGTCTATGAACATTTAACGGAACTGTTAACACCCACCATACACTGTTTGTTAGAGGGTGCCGGTGTTTACATGCTGTTAATAACATAATAGCCATTCCAATGAATTTGCAAATTTATCGTTGATTGTTTTGCATGCCACCGCCTTTGTTGTGGTTTAATTTGAAACGGAAATATGTAACGGACGGATATGTACAAATAAATCAATGTTTCAATGACGATAGTTTGTTCCGAAAACAAGCAGTGGAATAATGTGAAAAATAAAAAAATAATAGAAAAAAATTTTTTTTTTGATTTAAAATCATTATGCTTTATTTGTCTTATTTTATTTTACAAAATTTGAAAATTTTTTACAAGGTTTGAATTTTTTTTGTTTATTTTTTTTTCAATTTTAAAAATACGAAATGTCGAATATTGAAGTAAATGCAGCACAGACATTGTTGTTGACCCCAAGTCACATCAAAATGGGATAGTTATATTTAAAAAATATATATTTTTTTGAAATACACACATGCATTTATTGAATATGAATTTACGTGGAAACCTAAATGATTCCGAATGGTGATTTATACACCATCATATGCATATGTTACAAAATAGTCAGGCTTAATCCCATTATTACTGTTTTTATACAATTTTTTTATCCAAACCACATTTGCTTCTATATTCTGTTGCTGGTGATTGCTAATTATTAAAAAAAATATTTCATCATTTTTATATTATGTTCGTTAATTTTTAGCAGTCTTATAAATCATGTTAATTTTGATGGTACTTTGGAGCTGATCTAGCCGAAAAAAGTGGACTGCAAATATGTGAATGTGTAGACATTAAGGGGTTCCAGAGACCACTATTTTTTTCTTTTGGAAACTTCGAAATATTTCTGGAAATTTCGTTTGAATTTATTTTTTTTTGGAGGGTAAGATGTGTGTCTTTAAGAAGCTGCGTAAATTACGCTGTGCAACACAAAAATAATTACAGGAAAAATCCGAGATATTTTGAAGGTAAAACAAAAAATACGAGACATGTACATTGGCGTTTTGAAAGTTTTCATGACAAAGTGGAGGGGGAAAGTTTTTTTACTAGGCGTAAAATGTTTGCTAACATTACTAATAACAAATCCAGAAATCTTTTCATCGAAAAATTTTATCCTAAAGGATTTTTTTTTTTGATTTGAAAACTCCTCTTCAACTGGATCGTAGCATGTTCAAATATTCTACAAAATTATTTGTCTATTAATTTAACTGTAGCTCTCAAAATACATCAAATATCTTTACCTTTACTAAACGCCAGGAATTGATAAATATTTAGAGATAAACCCCAACTTTATGTGAGTTTTTGCAAAATTCTCTTACAAAAACAAAATAATAAAATATGATGCCAAAGACAAAAATGTCTTCATAACATTTGACTATAGGTAACCAACGAAAAGAAATCTTTATTTCAATTACATGGCCAAATTTACTTTCACTGATTCTCTCTTTCTCTCTGTTGTATGATTGTTGCTGTACTTGTTCTATTCATATTTGTGTTACTGACTACGGTATTGCTAACCAATATCGGTTTCTCTACAAGTAGCACAACAAGAGAAAGAGAGTAGCAAAGAACAGTGTATATGTGGGGTATGTTCAGTGAAAACTACAGTGACGCTGGTATAGCGTTTCTCACATAAAAGCATTTAAAAACATCAAATGAGAGTAACAAATTGACCCAAATTCGAGAAGAACTTTGACAGTTGCGGCCAAACGAGATTTAAAAATGGCGAAAAATCCCTGAAAATGGCAAATTGAAAGCTGCCGTCTTCTTTCATGCAAAATTAAAGTGTTTTTGTTAAAGACAGTGTAACTTCAACATACACTATTTTAAAATTCAATGATTGTATTTCATTTGATGTGTTTTGAATTTCATAAATCACAGATCTAGATGAAATTGGATTGGACTCTTTCAAAACTCACCATATTTTTTATGGTCCAAAACTTCATTTTTGACAAAATGTGTTAAGAGAGGAAATAATCTACACTAACAAGTGAATCGATTTCTACTAAATTTGCAGAGAAAAATATAACAAATCGGGTGAACAATATATATGGAAACTATGGAATTGTTTCGAATTTCGTATTTGAAGTTCGGCCTATGACAAAAAAGCACCACGTCTACAGATAGCCCCCATGCAAAGGTTTTCATTGAGCGGTATTCTTCCACTGTAATATTGTAATCATCATTTAATAAATTATAACCCATACGACACCATGTGTTTCCTGAAAGCAATGGACATCCCTTTCCCTCTTTTTAGCATTTGCTATGAATGACACATAAAGAAATCCATGATTTTATAAGGCTGCTTTTTTGTTTTGTTTTTTTTTCTTTCTAATTTTTTTATTTCGTATTTTGAATACAAATGTTGTTTTTAAAAAACATCTAAATATATATTACCGTAACCGCTTTGTTTTTATTTTGCTTTGCTTACATCTACATTTATAAAAGTTGTACAAAATTAAATCTCTATATATATTAAAAAAAACTGAAAATTGATATATACTTTTTCATAAATGCAACCAATATTGAATTTTTTTATTTACTGTCTGAAAGTTGAAAAAAACAAAACTATTTCTTGTTGTGCTTATTTGTTAGTTATCTGGTTAGTCTATTTGTTTGAAATTTACAATATTCTATTCCATTTTTTTTACAAAAAACCAACATAAATTCCTTTTTAATTCGTTGCCTATTTTGTTTCGGTTATTTTCATTTTTTTATTCATCTGACAAAAGAAAACCTTTGGGTTGCTTAATTCGTTTGCAAGTTATTTGTTTTTGTTTTAAAGTATTTCTGTTTTTTTTTTTTAGTTATTCGGTGATTTTACATTATGCTATTTTGTTGGATGCTGTTTTTTGGCATTATATTTAGTATATCTTATATCATTTTTGTATTTGTTTGATTGTGGTTTTTTTCAGTTTGTTTTTTCCTTTTTTGTTGGTTTGTTTTATTTTAGACACTTAATCAAATATTAGTTTTGTAACACTTCAAGGTTTTAAGTTGAAAAGACACACAAAGAATTTTAAGGGGAAATTGTTTGAGGACTGACAAAGAGAGAGAGAGAGATTCTTATCGAAGTTATATCATGCACTATACATAAATGTTATTTGGTACTAGAAGTGTCAAGGCCTCGGTCCAATTTGTCGAACATCTATTCAGATTTCGACATAGTTCCAAAATTGTGACTACTTTAAATAAATAAGGTCATAGTTGTTCCCAATAAAAGCTTTTTTGTTACGGGAGCTCTACTAAATGCGCATAGTGGTGTAGGGTATTATATAATCGGCCCCGTCTGAATTTTGGCTTTTCTTTACTAGTTTCTGATTTCCAATATATCTCTACTTCACTCAATGGCTATTTAATTTACACTTTATGTTCCATCACCGACCGTCTGGAATTCTCTGAAATATTTCCCCCAACCAAGGAGTAATACCTTCTGAATACATTTTCTTGTAAATTTAACGAGCAAAAAGCAAATATTTTTCCCATAAACACTTTGGAGCATTTTTTCCCCTTCCCTTCCCGTCACTATGTCTAAGTGGTCAATTCGAAAGAATGAATGAATGAAAAGAGAAAATCGCAACCACATATTTGATTTGAGACCATTCATTCGCAAAATAACTTCAAGTATCCTCTTGATCTTCTTCAAACTGTCAACTAATGATGATGAAGATTTTTTTGTTCCAAGTTACAAAAAAACAAGAAGCCACTAACCACAATATGGCGGTGGGATTGCGTCCCATGCAAATGGATGTCCCAAAAGTGGAATTAATAAAAGGGTTTGGAAATTTGTATTTGACTGACCACAAGGCGAGTGAAAAAAAGAAAGGAGAGTCTGTGAGTGGAAAAGAGAAATTTCAAAAACGGATGTCAGTGGAAGCAATGATATTTAAAATGGCAATGTTTTAATTTGAATTAAAGATTAAATATGTAATTTTTCATTCAAAACTTTTTCCTCAAGATTTTGAAAAATATATTGCAATATATTGAAATGGAAAAGTTACCATATAGATGCGCTCTGAAACGAGTTTGTTGCTGACCAAATTTAACAAGCCATGGAATACACGATCGATAGTATGAATAAAGGGCTAGATAACGTAACAACCTCTCCTTGTCAATTATGCCAATTTGTTCATTGTTTTTATTACGGAAAAATACGACCGGTATAACATTGAGTTCGATTTTAAATTGCTCCTAGGCAGAATTAGATGCCATTTTTGGAAGATAGCGCCTTAAGGGTATGCAAAGTATTGAGAGGTTCAACTTCGTACATCTTTTTCTTCATCCACCATTAAGAGCTAAAACTTGAGAATTTTGGAAGACGGCCACCATGATAAGAAATGGCAGAATTTCGAAAATATATTGAAATTTTTCATATGGGCCTCTGGGATGACACAAAGCTAAACTTTGGAAATTTGTATTTTAAGGTACCAAAAATACGAAAATATAAAACATTGACCCACGACTTAAAAGTTTTCATGAGGATCACTCTTGCTCTAAATTAAATAGCAAGCGTACAAAAAGTACTGAAAGGTATGATTGATTATTGAGACCAGGAATTTTCAGATCTTGCCATGAATCTTCGCCCATAAGTGTAAGAAACATTTTTGGAGCTGTGTACTTTAGGATTACAAAACATATCAAAAGGTATAACATGGTACATCCTTTTTATTGGACGATTGATACGAGGTATTCTGGGTATTCTTTACCAAAAACACGAATAGTTACAGCTTTAAATTGTTCATACGTTACGGACGAAATTAGAGAGTATTTTTCAAACTTTGCAATTAAAAAACACAAAAAGTACTAAATTGTACAAAATAGTACAACTTGTTCTTGATTGCTTATAAAAAGCACGAATATTGAGATCTTGCGTGGCCCTCATGCATCTTCGCGCATAAGTGTAAGAAAATGCTTTTTTGGAGCTTTGTACTTTAAGATTACAAATCGTACCACATAAGGTACGAGGTGACACAGTTAAATTGGGAATAAAGGACACCCTTGGGTGAAAAAAGGGGGATTCTGGAATTCGTATTTACGGAAAGGTACAACATTGAGCTAGAACGTAAAACTTTTATAAGGATCAAATCAATCTTGGACAAATATCTATGGTATTTTTAAAGTTGGTGCTTAAAAAGTACTTGTTTTTTTTTAACAGAAATTTTAGGATTTGGCATGGAAGCTAATCTGCGAGCAGAAGAGTAAGAAAATGCAAATTTTTGAGAAATGTGTACTTCAAGAGTACGAAATGTACGAAAAGGTACAACAGGGTGCAACATTGCTATTGGGCAATCAATGCTGGTTGAAACCTTGAATATAGGACATATAGGACATTTTTGGATGAAATAAAGTGGGACTTTGGAAGTTAGTATTTAAGGGTACCCAAAAATACGAAAAGGCTTATGCCTAGGTATACATTTTTATGAGGGCCACTCCTGGCCCAAAAGTACTAAACTGTACAAAATGGTAAATTTTTTCTTAATCGATTATTAAGAGGGGGAGTTTTAAGAATAAAAATTTAAGAGTACAAAAAGGTATAACATGGTACATAACAGTTATTGGGCAATCGAAAAGAGCTTAAACCTTGAATATTTGCATGTAGGACACTTTTGGTTGACACAAAGCGGGTCTTTGGAAAAAAGTAATTTAATGAATCAAAAGTACGAAAAGCGACATAGTGAGTTCGACTCATGAAAATCGCTTTTGTTAGAAATTAGATGATATTTTGGATGTTGAAACTTAAAATGTGCTAAAATGTACAAAATAGTACAACTTGTTTTAAATTAATTATTAAGAGCGGGTATTTTGAGATTATTCATGGGAGCCACTCTTCGCGCAGAAGGTTAGAAAAATGCGATTTTTTGGATTTGAGTACTTTAAGGGTACAAAATCTACAAAAACGCATAATATGGTACATTATTGTTGTTGGACGATAGATACCAGCTAAAACTTGAATATTTTTATGAAGGATATTTTTGGGTGGCACATACTGGGGCTTTTGAACTTTGTACTTTAAGGGTACCAAAAATTTAAAAGGCTACTATAGTGAATTAGAATTTTAAAACGTTCATGAGAAAAAATACTCCACGCCTTTGGAAACTTTGAACTTTAACAACCTACAAAATGGTCCAAATTATTCTCAATTGATTATTAAGAGCGGGAATCTTGAGATTTTGCATGTTTACTTTAATAGTGAGAGATCACTTTAATAGGTGAGATTGGTGGAAATTTGTACAAATTTTTGAAAAAATACAAAATGTAACATCACTCCTATCGGCTCACCGATAAGATCTGGAATTTAGTTGGAAAATGAAGATTTCGGAAAGTCGTACCGTAAATGTACAACAAATACGAAAATGTGAAAAATATTGTTATTTAGCAATCGATGAATGCTAGAACTGGATATTACATGGAATCTTTGTAAATTCGTTAGAGATAGCCTTTGCAATGAAGTCATCCTTTGTGTGGACGAATGAAATGCGGTGAAATTTTCCGTAGTCCGTTAAGGGTGCGTAGTATAAAAAGTGCTAAATACTGTAGATTCAAGGAACGAATCAAAAAAAGTGGTAATTGTACTAAAGTGTACTAAATAGTAAGAGGCAATAAATTTAGTACCACTCACTTAGGTGACGGGGAAGAACAAATTTCGGAATTTGGTACTAAAATCGATGTTGGGATTATAGTTGTGCTAATCTAGTTCGATGAAACGAACTAGTTCATTATTTGTTTGATGGACTCCGGTTGTGTGTGTGAAAACTCTGCGTATGAGTGATATGAAATATATGAAATCACTCATACGTTTAGGAACTGGTGTACTGTACTATGAACTAGATCAGGGATAGCCAACCAATATCAAGACGAAAGCTTTGATTGAGATGTTTCACAGACGTGAAATCTTGCTGCTAATTCTTTGCGAAATGGAAAATCATGAAATCAAACGACCAGACCTCCTAAACAGCTACTGTCTGTTTATACATCAAACTTGCAGTTCTGGTGGTGAGATTACCGATTGATGGTGAGTTTTAAGCACAAAACTATCATTGTGTGCGAGGTGTGGTGAATTTCTCATAGGCGGTGTGAAGGCGAGTGCTGAACTAGATTGATAGAACTCTACTTGAGATATAGAGTTCCGTTGTGGAGTTTTTTTTTGTAACTAGTACCGTGAATGGACGATATATGATTGAAACTGTTAAACATAGTATTATTTTCTAATTATTAACAATGTTTAAATTTCGGAAAAATTATATTTTCAGTTATTTAAAAAAATGTAATGTTGGATAAAAACCATATTTTTCATGACTCACTCCCAAAATGTCCCCGATATTTAACAATTTCTCCTTTACATCTTTGTGTCATTTTCTATTACTTCTTTTTTATTGTTTATTATTTATACTTACTTAATTTAAACAAAAAAAAATATATATATTTGTTATACCTGTAGTTTTAACAAAAAACATAAATCTTTGTCTTTTTTTCTCTTCTTTAAAAAGAAACGGAAAATTGTGATAATTTGTAATTGCTTGTGTTAGTAGTTGTTGTTGTTGTTGTTGCTGTTCATTTTTCCATAATCGTTAAATCAAAATCCAAAAACAAATGCAAATGCAAATAAAACAAAAATCATTAGAACTCGTTTTTTTTTAATAATATTACGTGCTGGCGTGCAACATTTTTCCCACAATCATTGCCACAATGCTGTAGACCAGTGTTAGTTTCCAAATTCCGGATGAGCTACCAGCCGAGGCAACCGCTGTGGGCATGCGACTGGGTCTGACGATTGTAGGGATTCTGATTTTGATATTGTGGCGGAGGTTTGTTATAACTATTGGGACTGGGATAACCACCAGGGTATGGGGCCAAGCCACCACCGCTTCCGCCCAAAATGCCACTGCTGCCGCCGGGTGGTCCACCAGTGCCACCGGGTGCATTATAGAACGGCTGTTGTCCGAACACGAACGGCGAGTTGTAGGGATTCAGCGGCTGCATGCCATTTTGGCCACGGCCGGGGTTAAGTACGCTACCTGGATGATTGGGTTGAGGAAATTGTTGAAATGCCGGTGCAACAGTGGGTGAGTTATAAGGAAATATCGGCAGATTTGGCAGTATGGGCACCGACTGGGGCGCACCGAAAACATAGTGCGGATCGATGAGAGCCGGACCGCTGGCGCCGTTGTTGCCATTCTGATGACCGTTGCCCGTCGGTGCCCCATTGCCAAGGCCACCGCCATTAGAACTACCATAATCGCTATTATAATTGTTATTGTTGTTATTCTTAGTCTGATAGCCGTTGGTTTGGTAACCGTTCGACGATGAGGTACCCGGTTTGGCCCCATTACCATTGTGATTGATATAAGCGTGTGTATTGAGCGTGGGATTGGATGAGGAACCCGATGAGAATATACTTATTTCTGGACCAGGTTTTAAACTGGATCCTGCATAGGGTGATCGTGATCATGTGAGAATGTATTGTGCAATAATGTAACATAGTGATGTATGTATGTATGTGTGTTATATATCCACACCCATATTCATTTTGGAGAAATGAAGACGTAGTAGCCACAAATGAATGTAATGTAGAAGAGAAATAGAAAAAGAGAAAAAGAACACATGTTATGGTGTTAGTAAATTTCGTAATTTTAGTTATAACGCCTTTTTTTCTCACATCATTTATTTACGTATGTATGTAGGGTTCTTACTATTTCAAACTTTTACCGGAATTACAAAGCATGCAAAAAACATTTAAAATTTAAAGGTATTATAGAAAGTGCTACGATAAATATTGGTTTGAACAGGGGTTGCAAAAATTAAAACGGAATATATATTCTTCGAAAGTGAACAATGGTTTGGACATTTCTGAAATTTAAGAACTTACATAAACTTAAATATGTTGTGAATGTATTTTTTTTTTTTGGTTAGACTCTATGTCATTAGAAAATAAATTTAAAAATTTTAACTTTAATTTTTTGATCGATTTATTCAAAAATATTCAAAAAATATTTAAGAGAGAAAAATAAAATCCCCTTTTCCGAAGCCTGTGTAAAAGCTCTTTTGAAATTGGTGTGTAATCTAGCTCACTCTGAGTATGAGTGATATGAAATTTATGACATCACTCATACGTTTTGCAACTGGTGTACTGAGCTGTGAACTAGGAGGGCACAACTCTAAAGAACACTGAAGACGCGAAGATATGATCGATATCGATGAAGCACTATGAATGAAAAAATGTCATTATGCGAAGGCAGTTTTGGCAATTGGTTACCAAAAGGGTACGAAAAGTAGTAAAATGAGTTAGAATTTTGAAATTGTAATTAGGAAAGGACTCGTATTTAAATGAGTACGAAAAGTACTCAATGGTACCAATTAGTATCCAATGTTACAAAAGGGTACCAATTTGTTGAGGAATTTTGAAATTTTGCATGTGGGACAATTTTTAGGTGTAGGGCTGAGACACGGCTGGATTTTTTTACTTTTTTTACAAAACGGTATAGTTGGAAGAACTATCTATATAATTTTAAAACAAGTTAAAAAGTATCCATCGGTTCTGCCGACAGACTAATAGCCTCAGTCATCGTTCGATTATTTATTTGGATGCTTATTTCGCTTTCTTTGAGCGTTTTATTTTTTAAAATCTTGAATCCTATAAAAATTTTGAATGTGGACAGGTAGCAAAATAAATGGTCCGATCTCTACCGTTTTTATAACAGATCCTGTGTTGATGGAAATATTCAGATGTGCCAAGTCTGAAAAGAAACGGATGTTAATTTCGCGTTTTAAGAGCTTCACGAATATTCAAAATTTTGACCCTCTTTGAGGGAGGTACCAGAAGAAGTGGACCGACATATTCTATCTTAGCCCCAGATCTTGAGTTAATGAAAATATTGGGATGTGCAAAATTTTAAGACAATCGGATTCTTACATCACATTTTATAAGAGTTATAATTATTCGAAATTTTGACCCTTTGTGGGGGAAGGCACTTGATGGAATAGACCGATATTATCCATTTTTGCATCACTGACCGAAAATTGGATTTGCAAAGTCGGATCAAATCGTATTATTGCTTTTTTTTCTGTGCGGAAAAAATAATTTTTGAAAAATTAGATCGTTACCAGAAGGACTGGACTAAGTTTGGACCAAATAGGGCACTCTCTTCGAGAGTTATCGTGTGCACCAGCAAGACAGACAGACGGAAGGACATCGCTAGATCGACTCCAAATGTCCTGAAACGGATTTGGTCCAAAGAAATCTAGGGTCTAAAACCGTTGTTTAGACTAGGCACGTTTTGACCGTATCAAATGGAAATGAAACGAGGAACCTTGTTTTGTAACCATTTTTGGGTGGCGAGTGCTGAAAGCGATGGTGCTAAGTCCTGTTGGAATGTCCAAGGTCTGCGGCCAAAATGTTTGCGTACTCAAGGATTTAATACACCCTCCAGAATATTTCGGGATAATATTTGGTATTTATTCTGATGCCACGGTCGATTAATACCAGCGGAGAGCGACCATCGCTCTCCATTATGGCGGCCTACACCATCACCATGGCCAGCGCTTGAGTTCTGGTGGCCAACCGAAAGTGCACATTTTCAGATGACCTCTTTGGCAAGTAAACACGATCATTTTGATTGTTTACAAACTGCTGGACAACAAATGCTTTCTCATCGGAGAAAACCAAATTCGGTAGCTCACCACTTTCGGCCAAGCGAAGCAATTTTCTTTCTGTTTGGAATTTCAATGGCTTTACCCCCAAGCTAATTTTCAATATTTGCGGAATGGAATATTGCGATATGTTCCGCTCATGAGCCATTTTTGGATCACTGTGACGTGGGCTTCGATCAAGCCGCTTCTTTACTTTTCAAACCCTTTGTGCCAGATATTTCCAGCGAAATATAAAGAAATCACAATATCACGCTTGAATTCCATCACAAATTACTTTTTTTTTGGAAAATTCTCACCAAAATGCTTTTGAACGCTTGTAACCAATATAATGAGTTGTCACGGGAATAATTTTAACAGCTGTCGGACGAGTGGCTTACAAATGGCATCAGTCTGATGTTGGGTGCAGTTTTTTCATCTCACCCTGTATAGATCTGGAAAAAACATTGCAATTTGCCTGGCAAGATAAGTATCTAAATTGGTATTATCAGGATCTATGTACAGGCACACAATAGTAATGCCTTTAATTTTCCGAATTGTAAAAGTTTTGGTATTTTAGATTTAGGTAGATAAGCCTCTGGTCTTGTGGTTTTTACCATGTAAGGATATTCCTAAATTATGGTGATTTCAAGACCATCGGATAACTTCGTTCATAAATGCATTTTTTTTATCATAAAGCGCTCTGCGTGTCAGATTTGTTTTTTTATTTTTAATTATCAATTTTTTATTTCCAAACCACTGTTCATTTTCATAATAAAAGTTAGGATATAATATAACTACAACTACAGCAGGACTAAAAACTACAGATGATTATGATGATTGCTAATGAGTTTTGCAACCCAAAAGAAAAACTAAAAAAATAGAAATTAATTACATAATTAATTACCACAAAAAAGTACATAAAAAGAACAAAACAATAAAAAGTTGTGTAACATTTGTTAAACAAAAAATCTAAGACGAACAAAAAATAGACAAGAGATATAACGAGATAGGAACCAAGAAGAGAACCCAAAAAAAAAGAAGAATGAAAGAGAACATATTATCAAAATGTGTTGCCTTTAGTTTTGTAATAATTAGTTTGTTTTTATTAATTTATTTTTATTTCAACAAAATATATATTTTTATTTATTTGGTTATTTGCCATTTCCGTGTGTGTGAGATCCACTCATTTTT